TGTGGATGAGAGAGGTGGGTCATTGGGTCATGTCTTTGGAGTATATATTTGTATCTCTCTACCATACTATTCCACCATGATGTTCTGACTCACCTCAAGCCCTGAGGCAATGGAGCTGCCTGCTGATGGACTGAGAACTCATGAACTGTGAGTCTTCCTATAAATTTTTCCTCCCTTAAATTGTTCTTTGTCATGTCTTTCAGTCATAGGAGTTTAAAAAGCTGATTAAAACAATACTTAGCATTTGTAACGTGTGCTGCTATAAACACTGATGTGGCTGCATCATTTTGGTAGTCTGCTTTTAAATCTTTTGGGTAGATGACAAAGTGTGGGAAAACTAGGTCAAATGATAGTTCCATTCTTAGTTTTTTGAGGATTCTCCATAATGTTTTCCAGAGTGGTTGCACCAATTTGCAGTGCCACCAACAATGTATTAATGTGCTCTGTTTCCAAAATCTTCACAACATTGTTACTCATATTCTTGATAATTGCCATTCTGCCTGGAACAAGATGAAATTTCACTATCATTTTAATTTGCATTTTTCTAACTGCTAAAGATGTTCATCACTTTTTCAGATATTTGTAGACCATTTGTATTTCTTTTTTTTTCCAGAAATGTCTGATTCATTCCATGGCTCATTTTTTGTTTGGATTATTTGCGCTTTGTTTGTGTTAATTTTAGAGCTCTTTGTATATCCCAGGTATTAATACCATATCTGAAGTGCATGGGGAAAAGAATTTCTTCCATTCTGTAATCTCTCTCTTCAATCTCTTGTTTCCTTGGCTGAGAACAAGGTCTTTAATTTGATGCCATTCTATTTGTTGATTTTTCATTATAGTTCTTGTGATTTAAGAGTGCTGTTAATGAATTCTGTTCCTGACTTGCTATTTGAAGTATTGGGCCTACCCTTTTCCTAGGATGCCCTATGTTTTTTCTAGGGTTTCTGGTCTAATTCCTAGGTCTTTCATCCAATTTGAGTTGAGTTTGTGCAGGGTGATAGGGGTTAACTTTAATTTTCTACATATGGATTTTTATTTTTGAAAGGCAATATATTCTCAAATGTATATTTTTGCATGTTTGTCTACTGGAAGCTATTATGTTTTTATGGAGTTTTGTCTGTGTGTTCTATTCTATTCTATTGAATGTATTACCTGTTTTCATGCCAATACAAGGATGTTTTTGTTACTGTAGCTCTGAAATATAATTTAAAGTCTGATATTGTGATGCCTCCTGCTTTGTTTTTTCACTAAGAACAGCTTTGTCTATTCAGGGTCTCTTATTTTTTTAAATGAATATCATGACTGCTTTTTCTATTCCTATAAAATCTTTGGAATATTGTTGGAAATTGCATTGAAAACATATACTGTGTTTTGGTAGTATGAACATTTTGACAATATTAATAATCCCTATCAAAGAACATGGCAAGTCTTTCTATATTCTAAGGTCTTCTTCAAATTAAAAACTATTGTGAATGTTATGGTTTTCCTAATTTCACATTCAGCTGATTCATCATTGGAGTACAGGAATGTGATTGATTTATCGGTGTTGATTTTTTTATCCTGTTACTGTAATGAATATATTTAAGAGTTCTAGAAATTTTCTGGTGGACTTTTTTGGGTGTTCTAAATATAGGATCATGTCACCAGCAGAGATACTTTCAGTACTTATTTTCCTATTCATCTAATTTTCTTCTCTTGCCTAATTGTACTGGCTAAAGTCTTGAGAGTATTTTGAAAACGAGTTGTGAAATTTGGCTTCCTGTATTGTTCTTGTTTTTAGGGGGAATTCTTTTATCTACATTTAGAATGATATTGGCTTGGGTTTGTTGCATATGGCTTTTAAAGTGTTGAGTTATGTTCCTTCTATTCCTAGCTTTTCCATGGTTCTACTTATGATTTGATGCTGTGTATTCTCCAATTTTTTTTCACATATATTGAGAAAATCATGGGTTCCTTGTCTGTTTATGTTGTGAATTACATTTATTGATTTACATATGCTGAACTATACACAAGGATCATTAGGATGAAAACCACTTGATTATTGTGTTCTATATTTTGATATATTTTTGTATGTGATTTGCCAGCAATTTATTAAGAATTTTTTCGTGTATGTTCATCAACAATATTGATCAGAAGTTCTCTTTTCTTGATGTGTTTTCATTTGGTTTTGGTGTCAGGATGACACTGGTTTCATAGAATGAGATTAGAAGTCTTCCCTCTTTTTCATGAAATAATGTTTTTCATAAAATAATTTGAGAAGAATTGGTATTAGTTCCTCCTTAAAATTTCTGTTAGAACTTGGTTGAGAATCCATCTTCTCCCAGGCTTTTATATTTTTGGGTAGAATTTTGATAGCATCATCAATTTCATTACTTGAAATAGGTCTGTTTATTTTTTCTATATTCTCTTGTTTCAATTTGAGTAGGTGGTATGTCTCTAGCAATTTGTCCATGTCTTCAAGACTTGTCTAGCTTATTGGGGAATGAATTTGCAAAATACTTTCTGGTGATCCTCTGTATTCCACTAGTCTGGTAATTATTCCTTTTTTAAAAGATTTTAATATGTTGAGGTTTTTCTCCTTTCTTTTGCTTACGTTGGCTCAGGCTTTCTCAATCTTGCTTATTCCTTCAAAATACCAAGTTTTTGTTTAGTTGATCACTTGAAATGGTAGGATCAGCAATGCCATCAGTAAAGACAATTATTTATTGTATCTGGTATTAAATAGAACAACATGTGTCACCTGAGGTATCAACAGCAACAATTACAACATTATTAATGATTGGAGCCAGCATTAAAAAAACCAATCAGTGCTAAAAGATGATAAGACTAGAGTTATTAAGAGAAAAAACATGTAGAAAGGGAGAAAAGGGCTTATAATTTCAAAAAGTGAAAAAGAGAATGCAGAAGATGTGGATGTAATAGTTATGAGGAAGGGAGGGAAAGTAGAAGTGAAATAACAAAGGTAGAGTGAGAGGGTGAACAACAGGATTTGGATGTTAGCAGAATAAAAGAGAAAGAGAAACAAGACAAAGAGAAAAATGAAAAACCATATAAAATAAGCCCAAAATATACTAATACAAAATCTTAACCCTTTATAGCTAAGGCAAGGAAAAATAAGTACACATTTAAAAATGAGAAAATGAAAACAAATAAGTCATATACATAAATCATTCAGTAGAAACACACACATACACTCAAAGACAAAAACCACACACACAATGACTAAAACTAAAGAAGAAAAATAAGAGATTTTTAATGAAAAATTAAGGAATCATTTCCACGAGGTGGTCAAAATCATCAATGACAATGTATGTTCACTCTCTGTGCCCAAGTGCCTTTCTTTCCATTTCTTTTTGAGTTATGTACTGAGCATAAGAGTAAGGGACAAGGGTTTTTTAAACCCTTCTTGTTGTATTGCTTCTCACATTGGCAATCAGAGTTCAAAAATTCTCAACCTTCCCTTCTTACATGAGGAAGGATGGTGTGGGAGGTACAGTCTGCTGGAGTTTTATCAGATCAGACTGATGCACTCCTCAGGAGGCTGACTAAAGAGGTCTGTGAGAGGAGTTCCTGTAGGTGGAGTTTTTTTCCACAGGTGGGACTCAGTTCCATTCATGCTCCAGGGCCTTTGCTTTATAGTGGTTGTTCTTAAGAGATTATATCAGTGCAGTCTTAGGGTCCAGCATTTTTGCAAGTCTCTGCTGGGAGACAGTATTCCAGGAGTCTCCCCAGGATTCCACTTGTGATGTCAGGGAGCCAATTATTTACCTCCTCTGCTATTTGTGGAATAGCCCTTTTATGCATCCCATGGTTAGTCCCTGAGCATGTATTCACACCATCCTGTTCTTCACACCCACTTGTGAAATTCTCAACCCACTTCCCTGTGAGCCACCAGATTCAAAGAGGGAAGGGAACAGGGCTCTCCTCCACATTTCTCACTTGATTTCCCTATGCAAAGTGCTCTCCATGCCTTTTGCTCTAACTCATCTAAACAATGTCTAGATCCTACAGCAGGTGTCCCTTGGAACCCTGCAGTCATCCCTGCTCAGATATCCTAGCTCCTGGTTCCTACAGTGGCTGCATCAGCTTGGCTGTGTCAAGGTGCCTCCTGCCTTGCTCTCTGTGGACAGTGGGAATCACAGAGCATCCTTGTTGCAACAGTGTACAGTGCAATGAAGCCTCTGGATCAGTCAAGGGAAAGCACTCTCTCTGATCTCAGGACTTTTTGAACTAAATCTATCTCTTGTTTCTCTGCATTTTTCCTCCCTCTGTGATACAGCAGCAGCACTATTACTGCTGTTGCCATCACTACCACCTTGCCTCCAATGTCCTCTTTTTCTTCCTTATTTAATGTACCCAAGGTTTTGAATTCTATAAGATTCTCTGACTCTCCAATATTGTGTTTTAGTGAAATCTCTCTTTTACCCTCTTCACAGCAAAGCAGTATCCCCACTGTTTGAATTCTGAGTTGTGGATCTTCAGGAAATACAGCCTCTTTCTACCTGCTATTTTCCTTTCCTCTTCTAATGTATTATTTCTTATACGTGAGTTTCTGATTTTCTATGTCTCTATGAATCTGTTTTATAGTTTTCTATTAAGTTTTGGAGAGTTCCTTTAGTTACTCACCTTACTGAGAAGCAATCTTCTTGCCTTACAAATATGGTGCTGGAGAACTACTGGGGGTTGCATTCTTCCTCAAATCTGCCAGCTCATCTTCCCATGAGATCAGATTTTTGTATGATTTTTTATTCATTTTAAGATGTATTCACACCATCCTGTTTGTTTGGGGGTTTGTTTGGGGGCCAAAATATATTCTTATCTTGATGAATGTCTCATGTAACCTTGAAAAATCTTTGTTTTTATTGTTGTATGAGGTATTTGTATAAATTCCAATTAGATCTATTTGATTGATAGTAGTTTTGCTAGTTTTCAAGGATTGCCATGTCTTCCTCAGAAATTCTGTTCTAAGATGCCCAGTATAAATATCAATTTTGCAATTTTCTAAAGAGAAAAATCCATATTAATGCATTATTTTCATGAATCAATTCAAGTTCACCACAACCAAATCTGAAGGTCAGGTTACTCTGCCTACTCTGTAGATAAACATGATGCTGAGACAAATGACCCAAGTTCTTGACTCTGTAAATAAAAGAGCTAATAAAGGTTCAGAAATGGGCCCCAATGGGATGTTTTTAGAGAAAGAACTGTATTCATCACTCAGCCATATGTTCCCACTGCAGGTTGTTCCAATATATTTATGCAGTTATATCTCCTACAGAGAGGTTGGATGTTGTTCTTCATTGTAAGGTGGGCTCAGTGGTCATCTCTGTGGGCAGATATGCTGCTAAGGGTACAAAATGTAAAACATACATAGTCCACGTGGTTGCAGTCTAGCAAAAAAACCAAAGGCTCTGCTTCTCATTTCTTTCTTATTCCTCTATTTGCCCAAAATTTTCACTACAGTTCATATCAAGAGATGCCCTGAAAAATTCATAATCAATGACATAATTATACTAACATTCATTCTGTTTCCTTCTAGTTCCCCAAAAGTACTTGGTGAAGTCAGCTCCTGGAAAAAGCATGGGTCTGGAGGACCCAACAACTACCATGGTAAGTTTGTTTATCTTTCTCTAAAGTACAAATGTTTTTCTTGTATTAGGATATGATCTTGTATTTCTTTTTCTATTGTATTAGGATATGATCACCTGGATTTATATATTAGAGATGGCATACACAGTTTCCTAAGTGGGGTGATTCTCAAGGGGGAGTCTGTTGCCAACTGAGAACTCACTGAAGGCAACATTAACAACAACCAAAATCAGCTACACACTATTAGCAAGCTCTGTTTAGCAGTGGTTTTCCCTCCTGGCAAAGGAATTCCATAATTGTGAACAAAAGTAGACTTGAAACACCAAACTCCCTAGAAAACCAAAAGATATGAGTAAGTTTGTTTGTTCTAGCCTTTGAGTTCCCTTGACCAGACCACTTTATTGTATGGTTTTTTCATGTCATTAAGTAAACAAGACTTGTGCACACAGGACAAAGCATGACTCCTTTTCTGTAATTACAGGAGGTTTCAAGAAGAGACAGAACTAGTATGTATCCTGGCCTCACTGTCTTGCTGATGCAAAATGTAAATGATGCTAAGGGTTGAACGGTCTTACTTCCCTTTGTGTACAGAGTCACAGTGATTCCACTTCCTACTGGAGGATGAGATTCAAAAAATTGATTTAAACAACAACAACAACAACAATAGACACACCTGTCAATAGGCCTTGTATTTAGTTAGGGCATTTGATTTTTCATAACACTTCATTCATGACAGTTTTTCACATTCATATACATTTTCTGTGAGTTGTGTCAGAAGTCATCTTCCAAACCCCATTCTAAGCACAAAGTTCTGGGCAGGGCCATTCCTTAGCAGTGAGCCTCTGGTCCACCAACATACCTTACTCACTTATAGTGGGAGTCTGAGACAAAGGAGATGCCCAGGCCTGAGTTCCCTGAAGCTAAGGAAGGACCTGATGTACCGAGGATCTGACCAGGATCAGCCAGAATTAGTAGGGAAGTTAAGAAAATAGCATGTGTCCTATCTCTACCACCAAAATTCTCATAACTTCTAGGCAGGATGTGCTGTACCCTGATGGGAGCCAAATGGATCTAAATGTTGACTTCATTGATGTAGTGTCCTCAGGCCCTCAGAGAGTGCATGTCCCTTTTGTGTGAGTCCATATAAATGAGTGGTGAGAACAGGCTAACAAACTCCTCTGGAATGAAACCCAGGGTGAAAGGTCATGTCTTCCTCATATTTGAACTCCAGGTCTTTGCCATCCAAAACGACTGTCACTATATCAGTGTGCTGTCTATATTTAATTTTATTTAAATTTTTATATGAGATATTCAGAGCTTCATCTCAGTTTCACATTTCAAGTGCCCAGGAGACCTATGTGCATAATGCATAGAACATTCCCATCTCTTATGGGAGGCTGCTCTGATTCTGGCACAGTGTCTGTTCCATGAATCCATATTCTTCAAATTGTTTGTATCACAGTTTGGATGTCAGCTTAATCTTTTTTGAGAGAGTGATGATGTACATGTGGAAGGAAGAATTTGAAATTTGACTCCTTCAGCTTCACTTGAAGATTTGGAACTAATTATAACATCTTGTTGAGAGCCTCTGACCACACAGAAGGCAGAGAGTGTTTCAATAGCCAGTGCTAAGATAGATCTTGACTATTAATATTAGTACTGTAATGTTTTTATTGCTATTAAGGAAATGCTTGAGATGGAATAATTCATATAGGTGTGTTTACCTTACAGTTCTGGAGATTAAAGTGTATGGTCCTTGCATCTGCATGGTTCTGCTGAAGGCCCTCTTATCTGTATCACGTGATTGTTGGTGTCATCATGTGTGCAGGTACAGGAGGGAGACATACATGGGGAGACTGGAAGCCAGCAGGGATCAGATGACTCATTTGCTCTTTTTTGTATAACCAGGATCTAACTAGGTTGTGAGAAAACTATATTCTTGCCTCTAAGCTCAAATGATCTCATCACCTTCAACCAGACTTTTACTCTTACAGGTTTTAGAACTCTTATTATGGCCATACTAAGGACCCAGCCTCTAACTTGATCCTGTTGGGGATAAACAACATCTGACCCCAGCACCCATCATGAGCTTAATTTGTGTAGAAGAAAGCATAAGACAATCTTAAGTAACTCTGTTGCTGATGTCTGTGTCTCTGAAGATGGGATGTATAGCCAGCAGTGACGATGAGGAGCCTGCAGGTAGGGAACTCAGTCCTTGTGGTATGATCCAATGGGCAAGGTTATATGGTTTTGAGTCTACCTACTCATGTGAAAAATGAGGAATGCGTATGAAATAGAAATAAATGCAAATATGCATTGCTTTCATAGTTTAATGACATAGGAATAAGAGTAGACCTACTGACTTTGAGAATCCTGTCTGTAACATCTTTTTGCTTTACCAGTTAAACACAATCTTCCATATAAGACCCACTCTGTCTTGCATTTGCCTCTACTAAGCATCAACTAGGTTGTCTATCATTTGTAGACAGTTCTTAGGAATCGTGTATGAAAGAATTAGGATCAGGGTTTTGTGTTTGACATGCAATGGAAGGAGTCCAGTAAGACACATATTCTAAGTGGTAGTTTGTGAACCTGTAGTCATAATTCTCAATTGAGCTAAGCAGTATGTAAGAAGTCAGAATTCCCCTCTGCATGTATAGCAGCACTTTCTCTTTTGTTTATTGTCTACTCTTGGTTTAAAAGACACTTCCACCTTTGTGCTACCTGGACATGCCTTTGGGTTCTCCAGTGAAATAGTGAGAAGAAGTTCATCCTTAAACATGTTTCTTTTTTTTAATTTTTTAATGGTTGTTCACAACATTCCAAAGCTCTTGACATATCATATTTCATACATTAGATTGAAGTGGGTTATGAACTCCCAATTTTTACCCCAAATGCAGATTGCAGAATCACGTCGGTTACACATCCACAATTTTACATAATGCCCTATTAGTAACTGTTGTATTCTCTACCTTTCCTATCCCCTACTATCCCCCTCCCCTTCCCTCATATCTTCTCTCTATACCCCATCTACTGTAATTCATAACATTAAACAGAGACATGAGATGGGAGGGAAAGGGAGAGAAAAGGGAAATTGCATGGAAATGAAGGGAGACCCTCATTGCTATACAAAATTACATATAAGAGGTTGAGAGGGGGATGGGAAAATAAACAAGGAGAGAAATGAATTACTTGAACATGTTTCTTACCTCCTGCTTTCATCTATTTCCCAAATTCTGGGACTAGGATGAAAATATGAATTTGCTTGTTTTCAAGAGCCTATGAAAGAAAGTCAGGGAGACATAGCTGCCCCTTGGAGGAACAGGAATGACACAGACATCACTACTGAGTACAGTTGTAGAATTTGAACTGGAAAAGAGCTCTTGGGATCCTAGATCTATTCCTCATTGCAGAGGTGATGTGATGGAAGCCAGGAGACAGGAGTGCAGACAAGAGAAAGAATGAAGAACTTTGACTTTGGGCTATAGAACACCGAGAGCAGCAGAAACTCAAGTTCTCACCTTGAATTTTACTCTATCTTTCCTTTCTCCAAGGCCATATCACATCATCACCATCACTGTTCTTGTCCATGCAGAAGACAATTTAGCAGATCCTGAGGATCAGGATGAGAATAATGGGACCAGAAATCTGTGAGTAATTTATTCCCTATTTGTGTCTTCTTGTTATCTTTTCTTATTTATAAACTCTTTGTAGCTCTTCCATATTTTCTCTTTCCCACTTTTTATGACTTTTCTAAAATTGCTTTTCCCCTCAGACCTTTGAGATCCTTAGGTCTTCAATGTATGTTAAGTCTCCTTGGACCAACATTTTTGGTCTTGCCCTGGTTTCCAACACAGGCTGTGCCACTAAATCTGCTGAGCAAACCTGCAAGGCCACACACAGAGGTACAGTGGGATGGGGTGCAGGTCATAAAAATTGAGTTCTTCCCTTATGCATGGAACACAAACAAAACAAGTCTGGCTCTGCTCTAGCCACCACTGCACACCTGGATTCTCTTGCCCTTCTTGGCTCTGATCATTCATGATTGTACCTTTCCTTTCATATGTCAAGATTATACAATTAGAAAGCAATTCTCCAAATAGGAACCTGGACTAGGGATCCTGTCCTGATTTAAAATGTGAAATCAAGGAAGTAAAATTAGACAAAGACTGATAAGAAGAGGAAATGTTAGTATGGAGAGAATGGGAGGGAAAGTAAAAGTCAAATAAGGGTACATATTCTCCATTGCTTCCTTAAAAAACTTTGTTGCCCTCTATGCAATCCATGAGAAGCAAGAATATCTGTGACCATGACCATGAAAGGGGATGTATGGTTATGGTCAAATTAGTGCAGGAAGCTGTATGTGAATTATGCTACAGAGAGTAGGACTGGTGGAGCAGGGTCCTTGCTCCACCTGTGTCATTAAACCTGCTCCTCCTTAAGGGACCCAAATGTGTGTTACTCAGCCTTTACACCCTAGTGTCCAAGAGATCCCCTTTTCTCTGCCTCATTTTCACTCTCTAAGGGAGCAGCCTCATAAGATTCTGAAGATGAAGATCCATGGGAATTTGCCCCTGGAGGACATTCATAGACACTCTCTGCCCTCAGCTGAGAGTAACAGACAAGCCTCTAGGCTCCCTGACCAGATTCCAAAATCACTTTACATATCCTCAGAAAATTGTGGTCATGGCCACTTCTGTGGCCAACAACTCCTAAGTGACCCCTCATCTCATTCTGTGTTACAGATTGCAATAGGGACACCTGGGAGGAAGTGATCTTTGATCCTGGAGCTCAAAGAGGTGGAGCTTCGAGTATACAGAAGCTGGATGAAGCTCCCAGGATTTGAAGCAAAAGTTGCCTTGTTGGTTTTCCTCTTCCACAGGGATAATAGTTTATATTATATAGAGCTCTACAGATTTAGGTTTAATTTGCTACATAATTTTAATGTTAGTATTTAATGTTAAAATTTTATATTAAATAATATTTACTTGGTATCAGTTGCTTTTTAAGCCCACTAAAAAAATGCATCAGGGCTGAGGTTGTGACTCTGTGGTAGAGTGCTCACCTAGCAAATGTGAGGCACTGGTTTTAATCCTCTGTACCACATAAAAATAAATATTTAAAATAAAGGTATACATAAATGGAGTATAACTTATTAAAATGACACATCATAGAAAACACACTAAATAAAGGTAGATTTTTTGAGGTAGATCTTAATGAATTACATGGTATGTGGTGACCACCATCATCATCATTCCTCTCCTCCCATAATCCTTATTTTCTTATTTTTGTTTTTTTTAGGTTTATGGTATAATAAGTACAGTGAAGAAATAATTAAATTGCAAGCTACATAAAATCCCAACTAAATTCTAAAAGTATCTAATTAATGCTTTCATTCATCAGTTAAATAAAAGCCCAAGAAAGTCATACACCCAATATAAATAAGTATTGTAAAACAGTTGGCAATTTTCAGTCATCAGAATTGTGAATTTTGCAATTTGGTTCCTTCTCTCAATCAAGAAAAATATTTTTGAATGTTATACAACATACATATAAAGCATGATAGAAAATACATTATAAACTTGTAACAATGGCTGCAAATACATTACATTACATGTTTCTCATAGGCAATGGGTTGGTTATGGTTCATATAGAGCACAAAAACTACTAAGATATTAATCAAGAGTAGACAAAAAATATATGTCAGCTGTATGGTAACAGGGACAATCCCATCTACCTATGTTAATAATTACACAATATTGTCATAAAAGTATCTTAAAACTATACTTTAATAAGAAATAAATTCAATGAAGAATGATAACACTGAGATCCAAGGCATCCTACTTTCTCTCCGTTGATCCAAAATTTTATGAACTAAGTTATCAAAAGTTTGTTTATAGCAAACATAACTTATTGGGATCACACATCTATTATTTCATACATTTACTTTCTTCCCCATAAAATCCCTTTGACAAACATCTAAACTGTCCAGGTTTAACATATTTCAGATGAAGCTGGATTAAATACTGGTATCATTTTTAACTATCACTTTAAGTGTTTGAGTGTTTCAAATTTATTCAACCAATCAAACAAAATAAAAATCATAATATATCATAAATAAATCAAAACAACAGCATGCATAACAGAAAGAGTAGTGGCACATTAAACCAAAACTAGTCAAATACAAAGCAACAATTGTTCTATTGCATAGTAAACTGAAAACAAGTCCAAGTGAGACAAACTGATGGAGAGGTCATCATGAAGATGCCAACTGAGTTTCCTGCTGATCTTAACTGTGAAGCCCTAAAGGCATGGAAGAGGAAAGGAGTCGATGAGCTGGAGTTGTGAGGTATGGAAGAGGAAAGGAGTTCACAGTCACTTGAGATTTGCCACATCTGTTACTGAGCAGTTAGTGATTTACTCAAGTGTTTAGATGTAGGCTTTATACACAAATTGTTTCAGCTATAAAACTGTACTTGTGAGAAATTGGAAGCCTAAACTGAAACATAGTTCAGTATTCATATGCACAATGATGCTAGTTTTTCACTTTTTATTTTAATTTGTTATATATGACAGCATAATGCATTACAATTTATATTATACACATAGAACACAATTTTTCATATCTCTGGTTGTACACAAAACAGTCATACCATTCATGTCTTCATACAAGTATTTAGTGTAATGATGCCCATCTCATTCCACTGTCTTTCCTATCCCCATTTCCCTTCCTTTCTCCTCCCTTCCCTTTTCCCCTTTGCCCTATCAGAGTTCATCTAATCCTCCCATGCCCCCCACCACATTATGAATCAGCATCTTTAAATCAGAGAAAACATTTGATATTGATAAAGAAAAATGTGGTATATATACAAAATGGAATATTATTCAGCATTAAAAGAATAAAATCATGGCATTTGTAGTTTTTCACCTTTTTAAAGTTAAAAAAGGTTGCAAAAAGGGCATGTTTGGGGAAGAAGGAGGGAGATTGTTAAAGGTCACAGATTTGGACTATTCAAGTTAACTATATAGGTATGCTGTAAACAAGTCTAATTAATTTGGGGTCATTTAAAAAGTTTTCCAGAATTAAAATTAAAAATATCATCTGTGAAAAAATGTGCTAGGTATGTTATTTTCTGCAATCAAAAAAAATTTAATGTGTCTCCCTTATCCAAATAGAATAAAGCTCTAATTTTGTCTTGTCAACTGGCATTCAGATCATACATAATTTTTTACCTGAGAATTCTTTGGGTTGACCTTGAAGATATAACAACCAAAATTAGTAAATTATGATATTTTTTAAAAACTTACTAGTCAGATATTAGAACAGCCACCAATTTTTTTCACAGTATCAGATTTGGCAAGTGTGCATTAAGATAATGTGGCACAAATCTTATAATTCAAACCCAACCCATTTATCCCCCTCACTTCTGCTTTCACATACTGGATGACTGAGTACCATGCATTAACTTTATTCTCACAGAGGAATTAATCTTATAAGACACTTGACTAAATGACCATGAAGGAAACTAAGGTGCTTTCTTTTCTTTAGACCTATTCCAATACTTAAAACAGACAAAAAAACTGTCTTTTGTTTCTTGACAGCCTCCAGAAAAAAATCATTTAATAAAGGGTGTTTTCTTTTTTCTTGCTTTATAACACTTGAAAGTATAACATTTTACATTTCCAAAAATTTATATATTTTATTCTGCACCAGCACCCTTCTGTAGGAAAAGTATCTACTTTTTGTTAATTTGTTTCAATGGACTACATTTTTATCTACAATTATATATATATATATATATATATATATATATATATATATATATATATATATATATATATAGAGAGAGAGAGAGAGAGAGAGAGAAAATAGACAAGCATGAATTTGACATCCTTAATGGTTATTTTCTATACAAAAAGGTATAAAAAATATTCAAACAGTTGGCCCATAATATGACACATAATGCATGTACTTTGTTCTCAAAAAATTTTTAGGAGGTGTAAAATGAAATTTCTGTAATTTTGACTTAGCTATCCATCTTTTAAAAATAGTTTTGCAGTTTTGTTCTTTCCATTTATTTTTAAAACTTGTTAAGTTTTTCTCTAATGACACACTCTTCTAATTCTTCAAATTTGGCAGACAATATAAAAAAGGCTATGACTTCTACTCTTTGATGGCACTATATTGACTGAACAACATATCAAATTCTGAATAGTTTTTGAATCACTTCACCAATGTCTTACCTGACTGAAGAAGGTTTATGCATGATGCATCTTCACACAGTTCATTCAGAGACAGCTTGACTTCCCAATGAAAAGCTTCCTAGAAGATTCTCACAGTAACTGCCTCTGTCACTGAGTAGTTAAGGCCCATTTATCTCCCTTCTTAAGGAGGCCTTCTTATCATTCACTTGGGTTGGTATATTGAAAGTTCTGTGGGATGAATTGAGCTTCACTGCTTAACTACCATTCAGTGCAGATTCTAGAACAACTTTCACACAAAGGCAGGAAACAAAAGCTGAGTTGGAGGAAAAACAATTTTCTTTGTCTTTTGTTTGATTAGATAGTAAGACAAATGTACAAGTGTCTCAGTTCATAGCACTGACCACAGGCAAGCAAAGGCTTAACTGATCAGCAGGCAGGTATGGTCAGGTCATCACTGCATGAAGAGTCCTAAGGTCAAAAATTCATGTTAGTTGCCAGTGGTGGTTCTATCTGCCTTGGAAATTTAGTAGCTATTGCACCTAATTAACCACTGGATTCAATAGGATACTCAAGAATTGATGTAGCTGATGCCAACATGTAAGGCTATTGGTAGGGTGTGGAGAACAATCCAGCCTCAGTCCCTGCAGCAGTAGGGTGAGGAGTTCTTTTTGGCATGAAGGGATCTGTATTTATCTGATCAAAAGGCATTTTGATAGGGACAGCTAAGTAGGAGTATTCAGGGCAGCTGGTGGAAAGAAAGGTGCAGGCTCCATTATGATCCTTGGTGCAGCCTGGGCTGTTGCTGCAAAAGAAAAGGCAAGGGCTGGTGATTTAATGTTGGCATATCTGCAGATGTCATTCAGAATCAGGAGCTCCATCAGCTGCATCTTCTTCAAGCCATCTTCTCCTTCTGCTGCAGATACCAGTCGTTTTGCCACTTATTCAACTGCTCTCTTTGGTGGACAATGATATATGAATGGTATTTTGCAATTTTTTTTTGTATTCTTATGTCTTTAATTTTTCTTCTTTTCATATTCTTACTCTCTTTTGTCTATTTTTTTTTTACTTTTCTTCAACAATCTCTGTAGGTTCCTCTTCCACTCTTCCTATGAATTTTTACTTCTAGCTTCTGTCTTCCTCCCTTGCTAATATTTCATACTACACTATCTCTGTTCTGTCACCCACCATATGAAATTGTAAATTGCTTTAAGAAATATTCTATTTGTATGATATAGTTATTGAACTCATCATTTAGGTTTAATTTTAGAAAGCAATGGATATTTTAGTGAAGCTATTAAGTTTAAGGCTATATATTATGTACACTGGATGCTGTTGATATTGGTCTTATCAGTAAAAGCAAAGCACTGGAAACCTTCAGGGACACTATAGGTCTACAGAGTAGAATTTATTCTGCCTTAGATCAATACTTTTAGATGGGAAAACACACTAATCACATGAAAAAAGGGAATAAAGTACCCCAAACAAACCAAGATACTTCAGCAATAGAAGCCATTAATTACACAGTAGAAGAAGAAATGACCAAGAGGGAGTTCAGATTGTATATAGTTAAATTGGTATGTAAAGTAAAAAATAGTATAAGGAGTAAAAAAATACAGAAAGTGAAAGACCACATCAATAAAGAGTTAGAGATTGTGAAAATAAACAGAAAATCTTGAAATTAATAAATCAGTAAACCAAATTATAATTCAATAGAAAGCATCACCAACAGAATAGACCACTTGGAAGATAGAACCTCAGACAATGAAGAAAAAATATATAATCTTAAAAGTAGAGTTGAACTGTGGAGAAGGTGGTTAAGAAACCATTAAAAGAACATCCAAGAATTATGAGATAACATGGAAAGGCCAAATTTAAGAGTTATCAGAATAGATGAAGGAGCAGAAATACAAACCAAAGGAATGCACAATCTTTTCAATGATATAATAGCAGAAAATTTCCCAAGTCTAAAAAATGGAACAAGGAGCTGGGACTGTAGCTCAGTGGCAGAGCACTTGCCTAGCATGTGTAAAGCACTGGGTTCAATCCTCAGCAAAACATAAAAATAAATAAATAAATTGAGGCATTCTGTCCATCTACAACTACAAGAAAATTTTTTTAAAATCAAATACAAGAGGCTAACAAGACCCCAAATGTAAAAAGTTATGGCAGACCCACACCAAGATACATTATTATGAGAATGACTAACACAGAGAATAAAGATAAAATGTTAAAGTCTATGAGAAAAAAAATCAAGTTACATATAGGGGGAAACCAATTCATATCTCAACTGATTTCTCAGACCAGACCCTCAAAGCTAGGAGGTGCTGAAATAATATATTTCAAGCTATGAAAGAAAATGGATGCTAACCAAGAATTTTATATCCAGCAAAATTAAGTTTTAGATTTGAAGATAAAATTAAACCATTTCATGATAAACAAAAATTTAAAGAATATATAACTAGGAAGCCTACACTACAGAGCATACTCAACAAAACATTCCATAAGGATGAAGTGAAAAAAAATAAAAACCAGCAAAGGGAGGATCTACACTAGATACATTTAAACAAATGAGAAACTAAGACAAATCAAAAACTGGAAACAAATCAAAATGACAGG